GTCTTGGAATTCAAATACTCAAAAATATGCTAAGTATACCTCAGCAAGGACCCCTGCGATCCCGTCTAGGTCAAGGGTGCCGACACCCCTGACCGCCTCCCTTTCAGCTGGAGGAACGGCCTTGATCATAGACTTGGCCACCTCGACCAAGTCAGGCTCCTGAGTGCCGGCTGCATCAAGCATAAACAAACGGATTAGACCTAGTAAAGAAGGGAGCAAGTCTAAAATTTACAAGGATAATTTCATACTTCTAGGTGGCCTAGCTGGAGTTTTAGAAGAAGTGGTCGGCTGCTTCTCAGCCGCCACATGTTTCCTGGCAGAACCAGGAGAGCTCGCAACAGTCGTCCTCCGGGCCTTGGGGTCCGGCTGTTGGGAAGAAGAAGCTCTTGGAGCGCCCGTCTAAAAAAGAAGAAAAGAGTCAGTATATGCATAAACACAACTCCAAAAAAAGGGTGAAAGGTTCGAAGCCCACCAGGGGTGCCCCCTTGTTGGGGGAGTCGGTTGAAGACTGTTGCATGATGGAGGCCCGCAACATGGCCGCCGCAGTCTTGGAGGCGGTAATTTTGCTCATGGCGTCCGCTGCAAAAACAAATAGCAAAGTTAATAAAAGTCATAACACGAAATGCATGGAACAACAGAGTATTCGACAGGCCGGCTACCTCTTGAGCACCGACTGCTGAGGCCACAGGCGGCCAAAAAGTACTCGTCGTAGAGCCATTTGAAGCTCGGGACGCAGTGCAGGGGTACTTGCTCTCGTACCCCTGAAGTAGAGTTTACCTTTGACTCTACTTTGAAGAGTCCTTTATCTAGGATCTCTTTTTTAGCCTTGGGGGGAACAGGCGGCATGCTGTGGCCGCCTGCAAGAAGGGGCGGATTCCTGTTCCACCTGTTGAAGCGCTTGTTCAGCTCTGTGTCTGAACTCTCAATAATAAGGAAGGTGCTCCGCCAGTCCTTCCATTTGTTTGCTTTACCTCTCGTCATGAGGTAGCCCTTGTGGCTCGTCAATTGATACCAGCCGGTACCGCCTGCCTTAGGGGTCCGGCTGAGGTAGTTCATGTGGGCGAAAGCCTCGAAGTTCGGCTCCACCCCGTGCAGTTCGCACCCGGCCACATAGCCGAGTACGTTGACCCAGGAGTTCGGGGCTAACTGCCATAACCCCAACTCATACCCATCCAAGATCCGCTGAACAGCCGGATGTAGTGGGAAGCGCAGCCCAGCCTTGATGGCCGCCTCGTAGCAGCCAAAGCAGGCGCCATCATAACTGGTACCAGCCGGCCAGACGACTGTATCTTCTGGATCCGGCACGAACACTAAAAAGTCGGGGCCCATTGTGTGGTTTGCGATAAAGCTCTCCACTTTCTCTTGCATGGCTGTGATCCGGCCCCGAGGTACCGTGCAGTAGTAGGGGGTATTTTGCTCTCGGTGAGAGGCGGATGGCTCCGCCCAATCGTCCCCCTTCTCAACTGCGTGAGAAAGCCTCGCCTCTTGTAGGCGACTGTTTTTCTCTTCTGTGTCCAGAGAAGCATGGCCAGAAGAGCTAGACTCGGAATCGTCCTCTGACGAGTCCGAAGAGGACGACTCCTCCCCTCTCCCGGAGGGGCCCGCCTCCTCTCCTTTAAAAGGAGCAGGAGAGAATGTAGAATTGTCAACTGTAAAATGGGAAGGGGTCACTTTGACTCCTCCCTCAGAACTGCCGGCTTTCAAGCCGCTTTGTTTCACTTCCACATCTAGCGCCTGGTCAGATGTTTCACTAATCGGCACCCTGTGGGAGGAGCCGTCTGAGTTTGAGATCCTGGCAGTATTTTTTGTTCTAGCCATCATGCTCTGCATAGACACAGATACAGTCGAACTTTGTAGAAAGGGAAAAGATGGGTCCAGAAAAGGGCAGGCGGCACTCCTAGTCCTAGATTCAGCCGTCCCCGGTGACCGGTTGATCACTAACCTAGGTCGTGTCGTGTGCTTCCGTGGTTCCATTTAAAAAAAAAAAGAATAAAGTAAAGAGAAAATTAAGAGTAAGAGAACCGACGGTTACCTGAACGAGTGACGATTGATGAAGTTCTGAAAATCCTTTGCAGTCGGCTTGTCAGAGCAGGCGGTAGGCAGAAAGGGTCCAAAATGTCAGAGCAAGTTCAGGGGTCCGAATGTTCTCTCACAAAGTTTTCAAGTGTGAAAATGACCGAAGTCAACACTCCTTTATATAAGCGAAGTGAGAAGGCGAAGGGTCATTTCCAGAATTTAAAATTTTGGCGGGAGAATCTCTCGGCCTCTCGCCGAGTGACACCTGTAGCAGGCCGTCGCCTGTTACAGGGTGATACCTGTCACAGGTAACACGCGACCAGTCACGTGCCACCTGTGAGGGGCAAATGATTAGGGGATTTTTCCCCACCAATCACCATCTGACAAGTGGACCAATCAGGTTCCGCCATGTGTCCGTCACATGGGCCAATAGGAGCCTGCCACGTGTCAAGCAATGATCCGTCCACTATGGACCAATTACGACACGACACGTGTCCTTCCCATGACACCTGGGATAACCGGTCACCAAGGCCCAACTTCCGAGGGAAGCCCAATCAGCCCAAGGTTAACCTAAACCTAGATTGGCACGTTTCCCGAGGTTATAAATACCTCCCTTAATCCTCATTAAGAGAGGGAACGCAGATTACACACATTAAACTCTCTCACCTAGAGAGACCCAATCACTTTAATTTCCGCATTAATTACTCCTTAATCAAGTACTAACTTGACCGTCGGAGGCGGATCTCCAATCATCCGGAGCATCCGTTTGTTTTGCAGGTACAGGCGTCCGGTTCCAGTCTCGGAATTGTAACTCTCCCGCAGGACATCAGAAAACCCCGAAACAATTCTAATTTAAAAGGTAAAATATGTAAAGGACATAAACCCTTTTATATCTTTAAATTAAATTTTTTTTTATTCAACATTGAATTAAAATTGTGATACGCAATACCATGATACACATTATTGTGAATGAATAATCAAATAATCTTTTAAAAAGATCATTATTATGCATTAAGCTAACTTTGATTTCAATTTTGTGATATTTAATATTTGAACTATCAAAACCGTGCCATTGTACAGGCACTATACTAGTTCTATATATACTAGTTTTTATGCAAGCAATGAGTGGGTGACTTTTAGCATGCATCTAAGTAAGCTAGCTTTTTTTTTAAAAAAAAAAAAAAAAATCAAAATTGTAAAAATGTCTGCTTGATCAATCTTTTTTTTTTTCAATAACTAATAGATATATGCACCTTTGTGGCTTTCATCATAAATGACTAATTTTTAAGAGAAAAAACAAATAAATGATTTAAAAGTTACAAATTAATATAAAGATCTTATAGCAATTTAATTGTATGATTTAAATTTTTTAATAATTCTTTTAAGTTTAATGGTATCAAATTACCATGAATAAGGGTTAAAGATAAATAAATAAATAAAGAATTGAAGAAAAACCTAATTTATTTGGTTGTATACTTTGTATTACTCCGTATTTAATAGATGCTAGATTTTCCATAGTTCAAATGACAGTTTCACATTATGAATTGCTACTATATAATTTCAATATGAATTTTGTATAATTTTATGCATTGTTATATACAGATGGAAATGATTAGATTATGTTGTATCATTGGTAGTTAACAGTAATAATATAAGATAAAAAAAAAACAAAATTTGTAGCAAAAAGTGGTGATTATAGATGCCATATAGATTAAAGTACCAAAGAAAAGATGAACATCAGCAAAAAGTGGTGATTATAGATGCTATATATAGATTGAAGTACCAAAGAAAAGATGAACATCATATTTGTTGATCTCTTTGGTTGCTACCGTTTTGAAATGTAACCGACCTGATTTGACCCGAGAAATTCAGGACCCAAACCTAATCTATAACCAACTTGAACTCAACTCAAATCGGAATTTAGCCGATTTTGACTTAATCCAACATCGAGTTGACCAAACTAAACTTACCCTCGAGTTGAACTCATATAGATACTAATTTGACCAAAGTTGAACTCAACCCAAATCGAAATTGACTCGACAAATGCTCGATTCAATTTGATATATTTTGACTTGACTTGATATTAACCCAACCTGATTTTAACCCGGCCTGATTTGATCCTACATGATAGTAAACTAAACTTAAATTTAAACACAACATATTACTAACCTTCCTTTAAATTTACTAAAACATAATTACTCCGATTCATGTCATTGTTTGTTTCATAATTTTTTTTAAGTTAAATATAATCCGTCAATTTGTTATTAGTTCATTACTTATCGTCTAACTTCTATAGCTATGATAAGTAATTGATAATTTGAGTTTAATTTGGCTTTGAGTTAAAGCCAATACAAGAACTGACCTATAATAAAACTAATAAGTATTAATGACGTGATTGATATGAAAAATGACACATGTATGACCTGATAGTGACCCAATTATAATAATGTACTACCTCCTTTTTTCTTTTTAAGTGTTTCATTAGGGTGTGTGCGGGTTTTAGGCAAAATGGTAAGATAATACGAAGTATATAAGTGGGTATGGTAAGGAATAAAAAATTTGGAAAATAATAAGAGAGGAATATAAATGGGGACTACTAGGTATAATGTGAGAGGGAGAAATATTATAAAATAATGGTGAGGTCAAAAGAAAGAGAGAGAAATAATATATAATGTGAGTGAGGTTTCTAAATTTAATAATGAGGCACTTAAGTAAACGGAGGGAGTAATAACTTAATAATTATACAGTTACATTGTTAAAAATAGAATTGAAGATTGAATTTGGATAATAACATGAGCCAAATTCAGCCAAACCCTAAAATGATCTAAATTGGAATTGACCCAATACGGAGTACTACCCTAAATCAACCTTATTCAGATCATATTGAATCGAATTGAAATTAACTAAACCTAAATCACCCCGACCCAAAGTCATTCAACCCGAAATTAACCAAGTCAAACTTGTTATGAACCCGATGCAATTCTATTTAATTCGTCGTACCACTGTAATGGCGCCTCTATTACTAAAATAATGAGGATACCCCGACTCATTTTTCTGCAGTTTTGGTTCAAACATTCTCATTTTCACTTGGACACTACTTCAGGTTAGTCACACCAACTCTCTAATAATGTTTCTTTCTTTCAACTATTTTGTTTTTGATTGTTTGTTGATTTTTTCTTTATGATTCACAACTTTGTTTTTCATTTTAACTTTCATTGCTTTATTTTCTCTATAATGGGTAGCAGATTTATTGCCCGTCTTTGATTCTTCAATCTTCATTACTAATTTCGATCTTTTGTAGATTAAATTGAAAGAAAAAGAAAATTATACGTAGTGGTATGATTCAAGTTCGTTGATGATTTTTTTAAAGGTTGTATGGTATATAATTACAAATTAATTAAAGAATAATAATTAGCTGAGTAAAAATTTCATTATTAGATCAAGTTGATTTTTGCTTCATGATCAATCAAACTTTATATATGATACAAAATTTGGGATAAGAGATTAATTTACATAAATAAAACTTATTGAAAAAAAAAACGGGGTGTATATACTAATTATCATATCATGAACCAATAAAACAAGCAGTATTGTTGAGCACTGTTGGAAATATTGTTGTTTATGGCAATCGTGAGTGATCTCTTTGTGACTCTGTGTGTATTGATGAACATTTCATCGTGTAAAGTAAGCAAAGTAATTCTTAAGAAAAGTTTACATTCTGATGTGAAGGGACACACCTTTAAAGTATCCCCAAAAAACTTAATTGTGGCGGAAGAAAGTCTTTACAAACTAGCAAACCAATTACAAATTACACTCTACACAACTGCTGCATAAGCTGCTATAAGCACCTTCCGCTTCTTAGTACTAAACTATTTCAAGTATTTAGAGCTAAGAATTGAAAAATAGATATTGGTGGCTTTTTGGTTCACTGACACACACAATAAGCAGAGATCAATAGCACTTACAATAGATATTTCTTTGGTCTGATCTGTAGTCTATCCGTCGTAGAAAGTCATAGGATCAATCTGCTTTTCGGAACAGAAATTCTATCTAGACCTCTTACACCAAAGGTTGGTACTTTATATTTAGGCGAGTCATTTCTTGGATGGAGTAACTCTTTGATCGTCAATTATAAACTTGAAAACACTGCTGCTAATACATTTTTGATTTGTATTGCCAATTATAAACTTGAAAAAACTGCTGCTAATTTTATGCTTTAGTGCTTTGATGTTTACAGTGGAAATCATACAACTGAATCTATTGCTGGCCTGTCGTTAACAGCATGATGGAGATAACAAATGTTTCTGAATATGATAAGCTGGCAAAAGAGAGACTGCCGAAGATGATATATGATTATTATGCATCAGGTGCTGAAGATGAATGGACTCTAGAAGAGAACAGAAATGCATTTTCGAGGATTTTGTATGTGTTTCTCTTTCATGTGGTGTTGTAACCTTTAAGGTCACTTGAATGTTTCCGTATCCTTTGTCATTTGACCAGTTTCAATTTTCAAGTATACTTTTTATGCCATTTGCAACTATAACTTGCAGCTTTCATGTGCAAGGATATATTAGAATCATTAGCAAATCATTATTGTTAAACAGCCGTATAGGATATATCTTTGGCTGACTATTGCAATTTACTTATCGATTACTCCCAATGAAATTCAGGTTCCGGCCCCGCATCCTCATTGATGTAAGTCATATAGACATTACGACAACTGTCTTGGGTTTCAAGATTCCCATGCCAATCATGATTGCTCCTTCAGCTATGCAAAAAATGGCTCACCCCGAAGGTAAAAATTCAAGTCCTTGATGTTCATCTGAACGTTCAAGTATTCTACTTTGATATGTCATATGTCAATCTGTGTTTTGGTTTATTGATGCTCATATACAAAAAACTAATGCAAGTCATTCTAAAAGTATCCTCAATATGCAATTTGGTATAGTTACTGCTACTCTTGTTTTCAGGATAGCTGGTCAAAATTAACACAAGGCCAGCAGACACCTACTGTCCTGTAACTTGATATTTTATTTTAATTTAAAAGCAGTATTGGATCAATGCTTTGAATCAAATGCTCTAAACTAGATGCTCTATCATATATGAATATGATTTTGAAGATGATACTTTAATTAATAGTATTCACAGTCTGACACTCTTCAATACTCTAGTCTCACAGTCTCATGAGCCACATTTTATATTAGTTCCTGCTTTTAAAGTATATAATGTGGCATGTACATGCATAAGGTGCATATATCTGACACTCCCCAGGGCATCCTCACCATGCTATTATTGTTTCTACTATGACATTCATTTTCTCATTTCCTCCTGAATAGTGGAGTGTTTAATTTCTTTGTCTAAGCTTGCTGTATAGATACTATATGCTGAATTGAGAAACTGGAAAAACCTCCTTTTTTGAAGTGATCATTTTCCTGTAGGAGAGTTTGCAACAGCGAGGGCAGCATCTGCTGCTGGCACAATTATGGTTTTGACTCACATTTCTTTCCCTTCCTATTTTTCCTCTTTTTCTAACCTTAAGTATCGAATTTTTCATTCTTTGATTTGCATGTGTGATTATTTGATCCAGGCATTGTCTACACTGGCCACATCTAGTGTTGAAGAAGTTGCCTCAACTGGACCTGGAATTCGATTTTTCCAGCTTTATGTGAGTATAAGTACAAAAGAAATTGTAATTTAGTAACTCCAGCATTTTTTTCCTCAATCTTACATTAATCTCCTGTCAAATAATTTTCCTTAATAATGTGTATTCTCCAAATCATATATGCTTATTAAGTATCAAAAACCTGTTTTCTGAATTTCCGGATTTTAAGTCCTCTTAAGTTGTAAGTTTTTGCCAAGGATTCATAATCTTAATATTCTTTTCATCATGTACATTGTGACAATCTGGACGTATATCAGTATGTTATCAAAATCCTTCTCTTTTTCAGCTGCTAGCCCTGATGTAATATGACTAATATCTTGTATTATTTTGTATAAATCGCAACATAACATTGATACAAACTTGTATCTCCAACTTTGGGTTCATGGTGATGAATATTATTAGTGCAAAAATGCAAATAGCTTAAAATCTTAATTTCTGAGTCTGTATGTAAAATTTGTCGTCTTTAAGATTTTTCCAAAACAGTGGTCAGGCTCATGATGATTGTGTGTATCCAATTAATCAAGGTAATGAAAGACAGGAGTGTTGTCGCACAGCTGGTTATACGAGCTGAGAAGGCTGGTTTTAATGCTATTGTTCTCACAGTTGATACACCTAGGATAGGTAGAAGGGAAGCAGATATCAAGAACAGGTAATTACATAATTTCTACTGTCTTTTTGCTTTATTTTCTTCAGTGAAAGGAGAAATTGTTAATGCTATATTAAGTTCACTTCTATGAATAGTAAGAGTAAACATGTGAGTATGATCTTACAGTTAACATCCCTTGCAGATTTATTCTCCCACAACACTTGACATTAAAGAACTTTGAGGGGCTGGATCTTGGTAAGATTGATCGGGTGAGTGAAAGTAAGACATCAAAGCAGACTACTGGTAACCTTTCAAGTGATTCAAAATAACAGTCCCATTCTTTTTTTGGAATGAGCTTGCAGACAGATAACTCTGGATTAGCCTCATATTTTTCTTATCAAGTTGATCGGTCATTGAATTGGAAGGTAAATAACAAAATAGTTTACCCTTTTGTTTTGCTCTTTGCAGTGCAGATTGTTTTATGTGTTATCTTTCCCTGTGAACACCTTTTGCAGGATGTAAAGTGGCTTCAGACCATCACCAAGTTGCCAATCTTGCTGAAAGGAGTGCTAACTGCTGAGGATGGTAAGTAAAGTGTAATTGTAAATAATTCGTACGGGAGACATGATTTCTATAATATCGTGTTTGTAAGACCTTTATGTCAGTAAATTATCTTGTCTGCAGCGAGACTGGCAGTGCAAGCAGGTGCAGCAGGAATCATCGTCTCCAACCATGGAGCTCGACAACTTGATTTTGTGCCTGCAACCATCATGGCTTTGGAAGAGGTATTCAAACTTAACCTCCATGCACTTGATAAATCTGGATATCGTTAGATCTGGATTTTTTTCACTTTGCTTCTGATTTGGAAAAGCTCCTTTTGGGTTATGTAATAAGTTCTTGATAACCTACACTAACCAATAAACACCTAGGGGCAAAAACCGATAAGCAGTTAATGGTGGGAAAGGGATTTCTAACTTGACTAAGATCTTTTGTTGCACGGACGCACATTTTTCTCTGCATCCCTCTTATTTCTTTATTTGTGGGGAGGATTTGCACGGAAGATTTTCTAAAATCAAGTGCAGGCATGTTTTTCCACTTCAAAGCTCTCCAACTAAATTAATTAACTCCCAAAAATCTGCCACTTTTCACTAGTGCTATCTATCATCGTTCCTACAAGCATTGATTGGAATCAATAAGCTGGTTGTGCTTAACTCTCTAATATTAATAAAGTTGTAAAAATGAATGTTAAGTATATTTGTCGTTTCACATGTTCAAATGACATCAGAACTACAGGTTATCAGGTAATTATACCGAACACTTTTGTATACATAACTGATACAAATAACCAGCCAATGCAATCAATGATTTCTAGAACAAAACGTCAAATGCAGCTATCTAACCAGCCAATGCAACCATCTACTCGCTAATTACAAAATAAGGCCATTAGTACGGTCTGACCATCATGTCTATCAATGTATCAGAAAATCAGTGAAGTTCTGAATAAGGAAAGAATCATATTTGTATTATAAATATACTTAAGAGTACTTTATATTGTGGTTGTGGCATACCTACATATGTTCCCCATTGTTGCATATGGCAGATTGTGAAAGCTGTGGAGCGTCGAATTCCTGTTTTCTTGGATGGTGGTGTTCGTCGTGGCACAGATGTTTTCAAAGCATTAGCACTTGGAGCTTCTGGAGTATTTGTAAGTGACTGTTTGTTATATTCTTAGTAATCAAGTTTCCAATAACTTGGATCTATAGTTTTCATTGAAAATGCTGTCAATGAAATAGGCTTGTGAAACTAGTATCTGCACTTTAAGTATTATAACTCAGAAAGCCTACTAGTAGTTATCATCATATTCAGAAGTTCATAAACTCACTTTGTTTCCAGATTGGAAGGCCGGTAGTTTTTTCATTAGCAGTTCATGGAGAAGCTGGTGTGCGAAAAGTGCTCCAAATGCTTCGTGATGAGTTTGAGCTCACCATGGCGTTAAGTGGCTGTGGAACAGTCGAGGAAATTACTCGTAACCATGTCATGATGGACACCGAAACTCCACGAATCTCTCCCAAGCTATAAGTCGCTTTAAGTATAATCAGCGACTTTTGTAAGATAGGAGTTCAGGATCAAGACTCCCATTCAGAATTTCAGATGTACAAGGATTCTAGACTTAATTTATAAATAAAGGTTGCACAGCAAAATAATGTAACGATTACAAGAATTAATTGGTGACCATGTTCAATCTTTTTACTACTGTGCAATTTTGTAAGTTGATAAGTTTGAATTTTCATGGGTATGCAATTTTGAATCGACAAAGTATCTTCTCTATATGCAAGTAACGCAACACCTTTACCAAAAAGTTGGGGGAATTATAAAAAGTTTGTAGTAGAAACTAACAACACAAGTTTGTAGACTTTGTACAAGTGAATATGTTTGGTTTTTTTTTTTTATTTTTTTTTTTATTTTTTTTTTTTTTTGGGAAAGAATAAAAGAATGGAACATTAGGAGATCCTCCTTATGAGAGGAACACCTTATATTTCCGAACACAAATTCTTAATTAAGTCGGACTTTCATTAAGTTAGTGTAAAAACAGGTTAAATTATTCTACAAGTATTCAAAGTTACTCATATATTCAACAAAGATTGCTATTTTCCTAACATAAACTTTATGCTTAAAAAATACTTATAATGTATTAGAATAATCATATTATCCTTAACAGCATGTATACATTAGAAATTACACATTAAGTACAATTAAACTCATTACAATTAAAATTACCCTTAAAGAGATTTAAGTTACCATAATAAATTATTCAAATTACCATTAATTAAATTGACCGTCTTACCTTTTTAAAAAAAAAAAAAACAAAAAACAAAAAAATGATAGCCTTACTATCAAAATGACGTAAGCACACCTTGATACAAATGAAAAACAAATATCTATTTTTCAAGGATTTTTGTGTGTATTTGAGGCAACGAGGAATACAGGTATGATCTTCGATCAAGATATAAGGTAAACGCTAAAATCATCGAACACAAAGTAATGATTATTTAGAAAAAAATAACTTGATTCACTGATGATAACTCTTATATTTTTCAATAATCAACAAATTTAAGTTTTACATCATAAAATAACTCCTTTTATAAGGAGGCACTAAAAACCCTATTACTCATTAAATCTAAACCATACAAAATAAAAGGATAGGATTAATTACAAGATAATAACTAAAAATAAATACAACCTAAGTTGCATCCTACATACAAGAAAAATCATCCAAATAATTCAAATCCAGTCCAAATATTTTCTTGTCTTGATCATATCAACATTAGTTGAATAAGGCCCAAAAGTAGTGTCGATGCTCTCGCATCACGCCTTATACAAGACATGTTGATTTTCGAAACAATAACATGAAATAAACTAGAGTCAGTTGAACAGTATTAGATAATTTGAACCTAAATGACCAATGTAAGCTATCCAATTTGATGCCTTATTTGCTTCTCTGCATATGTGACGAGTATTCTAATTAGAGGTGGCAATGGATGTAATACCTCGTATTTTTGAGACCTATTTTATAATTAATTAATTAATAATTATTTTTTAAATAGATTATTATAGTAAATTATTTTACTATTTAATTTCAGAGCCAAAATTATATATGAATTTTGGCGCCAAAAACACTTTCAAAACTCAATTATTATTTTGGATTTTGAATAATATTTATTATCCATTTATTATTTTAATAAAAATTAAATTATATATATATATTTCAAATATTTTAATTAAAAAAAATTATATTGTCTAATTCTATCCAAGGGGGCCAAAAATCCCCATTAATTAGCTAGGGAAATTCGGATTTTCTAAGTGTAGAAAATTTGATTTTCTTAGTTAATTATATTGGTTTTAAGTTAATGTTTTCCTAATTAATTATTTTCTACAAAATATATGATTTATATAATCATTTTTAATCCTTAAAACCTAGCAAGGAGGTCCAAAAATATGAGCATGGATAGGATCAATATTTTTGGCCACCTTATACTAATTTTGGTAGTTTTGTATTTTGATTATTTACCTTAAATTCCATTATTTCCTTAATTCCTTTTTCCCATCTCACAAAAATTTGATCATGGAAATTATTTGCCATAAACATTTCTTGATTATTCTCCAAGCAAGCTTAATTGACATCTTCTATTTCATGATCAAGCTACTTACCTTAATTCTTTATTTCTTATTCACCATAAACTAAACTTTTCTAAATTCTTAAACTCTCTTTTCCAAGTAATTCCTTAAACCAAATTTACCATAATTCTTCCTACAAAATCTTACCTTAATTCTTGCATGCTCAAGCCTATAAATACCCCCTTGCATCAAAGCCAAAACTCACACCAAAACTCTCTTTTTTCTTCTTTATTTCTCACGGTTTTCTCCTCTCTTCCTCTTGGTTTTCTTGCGCCACCACCACCACAAACCACCACTTGCACCATCAGCCGCCACCACCTCATCGGCGACCACCGTGACCAGCTGGCAACAGCCACCCCGATGCTAGCTACTGCCACTCCCGAGCCTCTTCCTCCTCCTTCGGTTATCACTCTCTTCTTCTCTTTGCTTAATTAATTTTATTATTATTATGGTTTTACAAAAATTAATATTAATGAATGTTTTAAATTAAATAACATCAGAAATTTATTCCAGTTTATGAAAATAATTTTTATAGGGTTCATGTACATAGAATTGGGAGTTTTACTTTAATTGTTGCGATTATTAGATGACCTTATATTGATAAGGTTACATTTAATTGTAGGGTATTTTTGACAAGAGTGCTTGAGGTTCTTTGTGTGTTGCTAAGCAAGAATTCAAGGTACATTTAGGTGGCTAGATACCTTTGAAAGTAATTGCTTTGAATAGCATGTTTCATTTGATTATATTGGTGATTGAATTAAATTGATTTGAATTATGATTTATGAAATAAGTTTGAGAAATCCTGTTTTAACATAAATATGTTTAAGGATGGATTTTTGGAAAAATTGCCAAAAATAATACAACCTTTGGCTAATTTTTTTTAAATAATACAACCTTTAGATTATACCTAAATATTACAACCTTTGGAGGGTCTCAACTTTAAATAAGATAAAAAACTTGTAACGTACTAAACCGTTTACCCATGACACATGTTGAGGTGTAATTGGTCTAAATGTAAAATTTTGATTTTTTTAAATAAACAATTTATTTAAAACAAAAAAAATCCCTCCCAACTCCCTCCCCCTGCCAGCCATGGTGGTAAGCCCATATCCCCCCACCCCCAAGCCTACCTTCACGCACGTCACCGACGGGCCCGACCACCCCAATCCCCACCTAATCGGCCGACTATTGAATTTACCTTGCCACCGAACTTCTTCTCAAGCTCTCTCACCAACTGAAGGTTCGATAATGGACGAAGGGGGTGAAATCGGTGGTCGAGAAGGGAGGAATCAGGGTTGTTGTGGTCGGGAAGGGGAGGAATCCGGGCTGTTTTGGTCAGGCGGGGAAGAATCGAGGCTACTTTGTTTGGGAAGGGGAGAAATTGGGGAGTGTGCGTGGGAGTTTTTTTGGCGGTGGTAGTTGGCAGCGGTGGTCGAGAAAGGGTGGAATCGGGCTTGCTATGGTGGGGTGGGGAGTTTCGAACTGGTGGTGGGGGACTGGGGGTTGACAACGGTGGTCGGGAAGGGGAAGGTTTTGGTGGTGGGGAGTTTTGAACTGGTGTTTGGGGAAAGGAGAGAGAAGAAAAAATAAAAAAAAAAAAAATTATTTAAGCCAATCATATAGCGACACGTGGCATTGTTAACTTGTTTATCAGGTTGCATCCAGTTTTGTCTTGTTTAAAGTTAAGACCCCCAAAAGGTTGTAATATTCAGGTATAATTCAAAGGTTGTATTATTAAAAAAAAAAGAGCTAAAGGTTGTATTATTAATGGCATTTTTTCTTTTTTAATATCGTGTTTTGAATGGTTTGAATTATTTATCATGATTGAAAATGGTTGAATTCGAAAGCATGTTGAATTAAATAAAAAGGAGTTTTGAGCTAACCTACCTATTATAAAGGTTGATTTATTGATTTAATTAAAAGAGGAATTTTATGAGAATTATTGAATTATTAGTAAATCTTTTAAAGTGTGATTATATTAATCCAATTATGCGGATTTGGTTGATAAGACTTTATACACTAGTAGAAAAAATGAAATACGCACCGCACAATCCGCACCGGTTTTCAAAAAAATAGGCGGGATTGGAAAATAGAGTTTTCGCACCGGTTCTAACTAAACCGGTGCGAAAAGTTTGTTTTTTGCACCGGTTCTAACCAAACCGTGCGAAAAAGTATGTTTTTCGCACCGGTGCGAAAAAGTATGTTTTTCGCACCGGTGCGAAAGCTATTGCTAAATAAAAAAAAAAACCCGACCTGTATATATACTCTTTCTTTCTCTTTCATTTCCTCATTTGCCTCTCTCTCCTCATTGACCAAACTAAACCCAGACCGACACCCTCAAAAACCCACCATCACCGGAAACTAAACCATCGCTGAAACCCACCAGTCCACCACCATCGCTGAAACCCACCAGTCCACCACCATCGCCGAAACCTACCAGTCCACCACCAACGCCGAAACCCAAACCATCGCTGAAACCCACCATCGCCAAAACCCAAACCACCCACGAAACCCCCACCCCCACGAAACCCAACCCAATATCAGCTACGAAACCCAAACCCACCCACAAAACCCAACCCAGAACCACCCGAACCAAACCACCTGCCCCTTAAACCATCAGATCTAAATTTTAATTTTTCTTCAAGAGAGAAAGGGAGACCGAGAGTTAAAGAGCGAGAGAAAGAGGAAAACCGCAGCAAGAGGATGCAGCAACGGCTTGCTGCGGTGACGTTAGAGGCGGCGACGATGAAGGTGGTGATTAGAGACTGCAGCGCCGTCGATATTGAAGGTGGTGTTTCAGATGATTTCTTGGAAGATGAATGGATAATGAATGATTGGTTGAATTAAGTTTATTTTTTGATTGGATTAGTGTTGGAGATCGAAGTTGCTGGAGGAAATTGATGGGGAGAACAGTAAACAATAGAGAATGTTGAAGTATGTATATTTTAATCAAGTTATTTCTTGTAATTTAATTTATATGTATTGTTGAATTTTAAGGTGATTTGGATGATTTTGTTAAATGAGTTTGTTTTTGTTAGGATTTTTGGTGATGGGTTTGTGAATTTTTATCAAGATTTGAGTGTTATTGAAATATTTGGTGTGATTGTTTTAGATTTTTATTTGATTACAAGTGTATGATAAAGCTGTAAATGATAAAATAACTTAATTTGTTTGAAAATGGTGGTGTATGAATGTTAATTTTATAATTTTTTTTTTATTTTTTTGGGGCATTAACCGGTGCCAAAACTTTTTTATTTTTTATTTTTGGGAACTTTTTCGCATCGGTTTTGAACCAAATTGGTGCGAAAAGTTTTTCTTTTTAGCATTCCTCAAATCTACACCGGTTCAAAACCGGTGCGAAAGGGGGGGTTTTGAACCGGTGCGAATTTATATTTTTCGCCTAGTGATACTTTGTATAACCGAGTCTTTTCTCAAGGATGGCCATTCTATATAAAGATACTAAATTGGGGGGTGTGAACACTTAGGAAAGGAATTGGGTTTTAAAAAGAGGAATTGATTTTATAAATCATTATCATTAAATTATTGAGTTATTGGAATTATTTTGAGAATCTTGAGAATTGGTTTGAATCCTAAGGCTTAAGTTATTGAAATAAATATTGGAATTTCCTTGATTGATTTTAAAAACATGTTTGCTAATAAATTGAGTTTACTTATCTTACACTTGAATGTACTTGGCATATTTTGCTAATTTGTATTTCCAATTTGTTTTGGTTCGCCCTATTTACCTTAATGGTAAGCAGTGTTGATTACTTTAGATTGAGTCATGATTATGAAAATGGGAGTCTCGGGATTTAATTCACCTAGTTTAGGGATGTGGGTTGCTTTGCTGTATTTTTTAGTACTCATAACAATGATTCCTGTTTATAGTATTAATAAAATAAGAATTTGAGTTTCCGCTGCTAGTTTTGGTATTAAGTTAAGTAGTGTGACTAGCCTTGCGTAATCACGCGGCGATATTACGCCTAAGTCTATCTCTATGATATAATTATACGTAATATACTAGTATTTCCATATAGGGAGATTTGGGGTATTACAATGGATCTTTGATCCGGTCTGAATCCAATGGATATAGGTCCATTTTACGGAATCTAAATCTAGAATTTTTGGACCCTAATTTTGAGATCCGGAACAGGTTCAGATCCGACCCGTTTGTTGTAAATTAAGCAATTTTACTCAAGTGAATTTGCAGAGAAAGTATCCTGCTTTTCTTCATAATTTTCAATTAAAACAACTTGCCATTAAATAGACTTACAATAACAAACCTTAACTACAAAATAGGAAAAGATAATGCTTAGTGGGTAATCATGGCCCACGTTTTACTCCACTAAACATAGACTAAATACTACTGCTTTTAAATGATTTGACTATCTAATATAATATAATTATATTCACAAGTACTTCTATCTAGTATTACATACTTTGTTTCTTTTTTTAGTGATTTTAAAACTTTACTCGTAGTTATTTGTTATTTTTGAAAAATAATGGGTTAAGCATGTAGATATTGGGTTACGCGTGTAGAAATAAATAAGTTTTAACTTGTTAGTTTCAAAAACAAAAATTTTAAAATAATAAAGATTGATTTTATTTGTATACTCCATTGATCAAATTTCTTCCTCTTAAATCTACGTACCTAATTAACTTGGGGATTGAAAATGTTTGTGTTTGAGTTTGGAGAAGGTGAGACCATTTGTATTTTAGGTGGAGTTAGTGTCAATATGAAATTTGGAAGATGGGTGAAAAATTAGAGGCTTTGGATTATATTGGCTCTGATACCAAATGTTGGAATTTGATGAGTGAAAGTAGTAGCGGGTTGGTAATGTAATATGTTTATTGCATGGATTGATGATGATACAAATGCATGTAAATTTCTAATATTTATAGTAGTATGTGTTAGTTTTATTTATATTACTTACACCGACATACTATACCAACTTTCTAGCTAGCTCTAAATTATTCTTTGATTTTCTTAATTATCAATACATAGACTAGACTTTTCTAAACATTCAAGACACTAGACTATTCTTCATCTATAGTTTTCTAGCTAATTTTATATTGTAGATATCTCCTAGATTTTTCTAGATTACACTTTTTAACACTTACTAATAAGATCATATAGGACGATGTATATCTAATCCAGCCCCCCATTTTGTATAAACCATGTAGTTTCTCTAATCAAGCCAAGTATGAAAACTGCTGAAACAATCTAGGTGTTGTGTCACCACTTTTGAACCAGACTAAGCTAGGGGATGTTGTACTTTATTATGTGTTGCTTTTAATCTAGTACTAAATTAGGTCCCATGCTATGCACGGTCATTTTCACTATTTATTATTAGTTTAACTCTATATTTAGTTATTTATTTTTTTATTTGAAAAAACCAACAACAGGGATATTATTAGATAAGGTCAAGCTACACCAGAACGATTGAACTTTGAGGGAACGAATCCAGACATACAAATTCATCACAACCCCTAGCATCCCACCTTGCCACTAAGTGAGCCAAGGTATTACCTGCCTGCTTTACTTGAGAAATAAAAAACAAAATAAAATTCTTAGAGAGAGCATCAATATCATACTAAAGAATTATCTCATTGCAAAATAAAATAAAAAATTCATAAATACAAAAATAAAAATAAAATTATACCATACTAAAGAATTTAGTGGGAGTATTACATGCTTGACTAATAAAATAATTATGGATTACGCAAATAGTACGTCACAAAGTTATATGTAGGAAAATATTATTACATAGTATTAAATAAACGAATAATATACTTGTTGAATGTGTACAAATAGAATGTAATTACCAGGTAATAAGGGAAACATTATTGAATAGTACTCCGTATTAAGTATTCTCCAAGAAGCTTTATTTTGGCGCGAATTTTTTTTTTTAAAAAGATGACATATGTCATTACTAGTTTCACCTTTACTATAATTTATAAAATATAATAATATATAGTTACAGACTTATAGTTATAGATTTATGTCTTAAAGTCAATTTGATGCAATATAACGTTAATTTATTTATTTATTTATTTATTTATTTTTATTTCGTACTGTAACTTCAATTCATGTGATTGTAATATATTAGAAAACAAAAATAATTCTAAGCAAATAATAATAATTTTAGTAATAAGAATCTTTAATTTCTATTATAATATATAAATTAAATGTATACGTAAAATTTTATTGTCTTAAATAAGCTGCCAATCAAAAAGATATGATAAGAAAAATAAAATTATAATATATTTATTTTTGAAAAATAGTTTTTTGGAAGGAAAAAACGACACCAAGAAGTGATATGTGTCATTTTTCAGGTGTCTGTTTTAATAATATGTTATTGATTCTAATTTTAGTTTCTACCAAGAAAATGAAAACAGAAATTCCAAAGCCATTATTAATCACATTCTAATTTTATAAATAATGATATGAATTGAAACCAAGGATCGATTTTTATGGAATTATTTATGGAATTTGGTATGTTAGTGTTTTCAGCCATGACCGTGTAAGGTCCTTGCATGATAGAAGTTATTACTACCCCCTCCTTTGTTCTAGCGCCAATTGTTCCAAATATATATGTGCCGATATAACTCGCGTCTAGGATTGGTAAAGACCTATCGTGCAGTTAAGCACCTACAAAGTCAAGATGGGTCAGCTAACCCCGAGGTTTGATCGGGGATAATCGCTCCAATTATAAAGTCAGTTTCAAGTTTATAAGAGCGAGTAAGAAAAATGATAAGAGAGAGAAAGAGAGAGAGATTTGTGTTAGAGATTCTACCTTGTAACTAAGCAAATCATAAGTATTTATAGAAAGATGATCAAGCCATGTGGCTTGCATGTCAAGCAAGTGGCAAATGTCCACGTGATGGAGATTAATTGACCACGTGGCTATTGGCTAATTAACCATGCATGAGAAATGTTATATGTCGATATGACCTTAGCTCCGGTGGCTATTGGCTAATTAACCATGCATAAGAAATGTTATATGTCGCCGATATGACCTTAGTTCTGGTATAGAAAGCAAGCATTCATTGGGGTGTGACCCGACCTAGATCCGTCGTTACCAGGCCATAGCAGCACCGATAACATCCTATACACAAGCCCATGTGCCACCGTGTCTTATTGTGCTCATATGTTTAAACCATGTTTAACTGTGCTTAAATTAACTATGTTTAAATAGTCGTGCATAGAAAAAGAACATGCATGGCCTAAGCTCAGCCTAGGGGTGCTAATTGAGTTGAGCAGCTCGCGAGCAACTAGAACTTGACTCGGTCAACGCTCGGTCAAAACTCAACTCAAGTTAGCTCAACTCGAATTCGACTCGAGATGTTAACGAGCACGAGTTGAGCAAGGTCTAACTCGGTTCGATAAGCTCGTGAGCAACTCGATAATATATTTATTAATATAGAATTTACAAACAAAGTTACCAAATTTAAACAAATTACACTTAATAAGTGTTAATTCATAAAAAAGAAAGAGTAAATCTTTAATAATAAATATATATATATATATATATATATATATATATATATGAAAAAAAAAACAATATAAAGTGAAAAAAAAAGAAGGGTCAAAACTTTAACGAGCACATCGTAAGCTACTCAACTCAACTCGAAACTTTAACGAGCAAGTTTTATTAGCTCGAAACTTTAGCAAGCATGAGTTGAGCACATGTAAAAACTTTTCGAGTCGAGTCGAACACCCCTCAACTCGTGATCGACTCGCTCGATAAGCACCCCTAGCCCAGCCATTGCATTGCTCACACACTTCATGGCGTGACGACCAAGTTCTTTCTTTAATTCTATCAAACCCAAGTATTTAAAGGCTTGAAGCAAATTATATGATCTATAGCATTATAGACAAAACTTAATTACAAATTAAATTAATACGTAATATTTGGTCAGTAGATCGAGACATAATATTTTTGAACACTAGAAATTAAAGAACTAACCCATATTATGAAACAAATATGGTCCATATCACATCAAATAATTGTCCACTACATCATCACACATTCACACCAACATACTCCATCAGTCGATCAAGAAAGGTAATTCGGTAATCTTACCAACGAACCAAAGAATTACTAGAGCATACGAAGCCTCTTATAGCTAAAAACCAACAAGTCAATCTATTTTGTCAATTACTAACTAGTATCTGATTTGCTGGGACTAAACAAGTTCTTAAGTTCAAATTAAAGATGGTAAGGAGATGTAGCTTGGATCCGATGCTTTCGCTTTTCGAGAAATTGTCGCAATGATCTAGAAAGGCTGGTTTGTGGTAATCTTTGAGATTGTTGCGATGAGAATGTAATGTTGAGATCTGCTCTTCCTGTTGTGGCCGGAGATTTACACATTCCTTCTGTTGTTTTTCCGCTTGCTAGATTTATTACACATTTTGCCTGTATAATAGACACAAATCTAGTTAGATCATTTTAAAGATAAATTTACGTGGAAACACACGTTAAAGACTTATTGTTCATATTGATGGGTTTTCTAGATCACTTCATAGTCACCTTATTATATTTTACAAAAAATTGAAAGAATTTTCAAAAGATTTTGACACACCAATTATTGATATTAGTATAGTACATCTCTATGTGAGAGGATAGAAAAGTGTGCTCTCACGATGAGCGTGTCTAAATCACTTTTTGGTGTAACAAAATCATTTTCAGACTTTCTTTCTACCTCCATTGTCAAGATCATAGCCCCACTTAATTAATGATATGTTACTCCCTCTTTGTTCCATTATTAATTACTTCTTCAGTTCTTTGTTGATTGCACTGTTTGGACTTTAATTTCACTCTATTCACATATTCTCTTTGGACCATCTATGTACTTCATCAATAAGGGAATTTATAGTGAGAGAGAGCTAGTCAGATTTATTCAGATGTATACTTTTACAACAAAATACAATATCAACGTTTTATAAATGTGTTTATAAAATAATTAAAGAAATTAAATGATGACATGCAATATGTTGTTAATATTTTTTTTATTAAATAACTAGTGTGTGCCCCGGGCGATGTTCCGGATTGCTAGTTTGTATACTTCTTTGATTTGATAATTATGTTCAACTGTGTGAATAGTTGGTGTGTGGTTTGGACGTTGCCTCGGGTTTCATTTTTTTTTTTTTTACCTCATATATATTTATATTCATCTTGTGAAATATAAATGAATTATATTACCTCTAATTTACTTAATAAATGAAAGGAATATATAATTTTATTATGTGAAATTTGAAACATTAATAAAAGTTGGTTGAGATGGTAAATGCATTACCTTTATGTATCAGAGGTTAGGAGTTCCTTTGAAAGGAACGCCTTTTAATATATAGTATAGATGTATGTATGTGATCAAAAGATAATGAAAAATTAAGTCTGAGATCTTGTCTGATTTGTTTAAATAAATAATTTCAAAATACTAAAGTTAATATAAAAATAATAATAAAGTGTTATATATACTCCTTAGTTCTTTACAAATATTATCAATGCTTGTTATAATATAATTACATTGACAGGCGGAAAAGTTTGGGAAAAATGAAGGAATTATAAAGTAGTCTCTCTTTCACGAGGTCTTCTTTATTGCATATAGACCCTGTTCACTTTTTTTTTTTTTTTTTTTTAAAAAAGAACCTGCCACACTTATTTTGGCTAAATTGAAATTATTTATACATAACTGAATTAAGTATTTATAATAAATTGAAATTATTTGTACTATTTCTCTAGTCATATTTCTTTTTTAAAGATTATTAATTTTTACTGAAATAAAATTATTTTCACATAACTGAACTTATTTATACTAAATATCATTTTTACATAAGTTGAAGTAAACAAGGACATACATAATTGACCATGCATATTTCGAACCTATATTTAAAGGTGTCAATTCGAGTACCTAGGTCGAGTTAAGAGAGGTCGGGTCTATTTTAAAGTTAAATCATGCTAAATTATTTTAGAGTAATGATATATGTAGTCTTTAGGGCTTTATATAAGCATTAAATAAACTTCCTAAAATGGAATTAACTTGAAAATTCATGACTAAATCACTCGCAAATCGGTGTAATTAATGTTAATATATCCTCATTATTTCCGTTTTTAAGCTTCTTATACATAGCCCTTTTCCATTATTTTTATCCATACTAATTGAAATAATCTAAATTGAGTTTTTCGGGTTGGATCGGATCGGTTAGGTCATTTTTACACCAATACCTATAGCTATAAGTATAAATTTTTTTTTTTAAGAAAAATCACATTAAAAAGAATATAACAAAGTTGAGTGATAATGTTTTTCATTATACAAGTACATAAATTACTAACAGAGGTTAAATTTTTATAACTTTTGCCACATGAAGAATCGGATATTTTATGTAACAGAAGGACAACAATTTTATACACGATCTCACATGATTAAAAATTTCATTACTTGTTGCATGTAATATCTAATTAAATTCCTGAAATTAAAATACTCTTTTATCATATACAAATACTGATATTGCATCACAATAAGCAAGCCGATCCACCCCATAAAATGTGTACACTGAGAATTTACACCAATGCAATAATCTAAAATATTCCAATTAGAATATTCAAACAAGACTCAAACTTCATTTAATTAATAAAACCCCATTCTTTCAAAAAAAAAAAAAAGAATAAAAAAACCCATTAATTTTTTTTTTTATATATATAAAATATGAAAAAATAGATGAAAAGAATGGTAACATAAAATAAAAATAAAGAAAATAAAATACCTGAGCTTCAGTAACATCACAAACACATATCTTTCCATTATAAAAAATGGTCATCTGTCCTTCCTTCAAATTATCTCCAATAGAACCCCTGTTAATAAGAAAATTAATTAAGGTAATCAATCACATAATTAATCAATAATCACATTTTTCCTCTAGAGAGAGAAAGTGCATACGTGGAGATCGTAGAAGCGGTAGAAGAGATAGACGTGGAAGAAGGTGATAGGCCAAGCTCAAGATTACAATCCATTTTAATTTAATTTTATAAATTAATATTTTGATTAAATTTTGTTTGGGGTATAATTTTAGAGAGAGAAAGAAGGAAAATGAGGAGTGAATATAAATGGGAAAGAGGGTTGAAAGTTAGGCAGAGTTGTAAGTTTATAACTAAAAAAAACATGTGGGAGAATGGAAGGTTAAGAGAAAGGAGCACGTGAAAAATGAAGGCAAGTCTGGCTACAAAACACAACACTTGTTTGCTTTGTTGCATGTTTATTCACACACGTGCCATCACTTGTCGACATGCAGTGCCCTCGTATGCATCATTTTTTGACACGCACTCAACGTTTATGGGTTTCATACTTTCATAAATTAGAAAATTTACTATCTCCGTTTCTGAAAGTTCGACTCACTTTATATTTGCACGGTCTCCAATGAATATCTTTGACCATGAATATTTTCGGTTATATATAACTAAAAATTATAAAAGTTGATATTTGAAAATTTTATGATAAGTGAAATCTAATAAAATCTCATATGTTAATTTATTTATATTGTATAAGTCATAAACAATGGTCAACGTTTATTTATTTTATCCTCATAAATAGTAAGTGAGTCGAAATTTCAGAAACAAAGGAAATATATATTTTTTTTTCCAGGAAATTAGAAAATTTACTTTAAAAGGCATGCCAATTAGAAGTGTCCGTTCGGGTAACCAGATGGAGTAGTTTTGGTTGATTTACGGTTGGTCGGATATGTTCCGGTCAAGGCTACTCTTTTAACCTGTCTTAGTAAGGATCGGGTCACTTTCAAGTCCGGTTAATTTCAAGTCATGGTCTGTCGAGTTAGGTTCGGGTCAACTTTAAATCGGTCTATATTAGGTTCGGGTAAATACGGAACAAGTCCAAAACGAGTTTGACCAAGATGATTTTGGGTCTGATGACCTTGAGTTAGGTTGATTGATTTCGATTCGGTTAAGTATTGTTTGATTAAGATAAGTTTGATGTATTGATTCAATTTTATTTCAAATATAGAATAAGGTCATTTTTAAAATAGAGTATTTATTGAGTTATTGTCTTATCATTGAGTCATTTTTCATATCGGAGTATTAGTTTTCTCATTCGATCAGTTATTGTGTCTTTTTTACCTTTAAAACAAATCGAAGAAATCAAATTACTGATTATTTATCATACCTACATAAGTGACATGATAAGTAAAAAACTAATGATAGATAGATAAATGATAGTCACATCTTGTGATATAGACGCATAGGAATGTTATCTTTTAAGGTTATCATTAATCTTCAATCGTACGATCTTACGAGGCTGCTACAGACAAATTCTTATTTTTATTTAAATAAAAAATGAGAGGAAAACAATAGTTTTCACTTTTCTACTGTCATTTTTCTAGCTTAATAATCATGATTGTAATAAGTTAAGCTTGTTGTTTCGGGGTTTTTTGGATGTCCTACGGGAGAGTTACAATACTAAGACTGGCCTCTGAAAGCCTGTACCTGCAAAACAACGGAGACTCCTGTGGGTGGGAATTCCGCCTCTAACGATCAAATTAGAACGTGTTCGGATGTAAAAAGAGCGGAAAGTAAAGGGGATCAGACTCCTTTTAGGAGAGAAGTGATCATCCGGTTATCTGAGATAACCTCGAAATCCAAGCCTTAGCTCTCAAGTAGTCCAATTAAAGCTGGAGTTAATGCTCAGCAATTAATGTACATGTGTATTTAATAATTTCTGAATGATGTTCCTCAGGGGGAACATCTCCCTTTTATAGGGTCTCGTAATGCGTGCCCAGTACTATGTTTTAGAAACTTAGGACTGACTGGGCTTGCCTAGGTATTTGGGCCGTATCATGCCACTTTCCTAGTTGGCAATTTGTCTGCCACTGCACGTGTCGTGGCCTGATTGGTCCACTTTGGACCTCTCACGAGGTGACACGTGGCTGACTTTGGTCGGTCCACGTGGATGACACGTGGCAGGATTTCATTGGACCACGTGGCGGGGTTAAATCCCTTAATCATTTGCCCCTCACAGGGGTGATGTGGCGTGCCACGTGGCGCCTGTGATAAGTGTCACACTCTGATTGGCCAACGGTTTTTACGGTTTTTTTTTTTTTTTTTTTTTTACTGCCCCTTAAAATTCACCTCCCTATAAATAGGGGATGTCCAAATCATATGTTTGGACATTTCCAAAAAATTTCAGACAAAACTTTCTTGACTTTGAGAACTTTGTCCTTTTCTGAGAAAGAATGATTGCCGCCTGCTACTAGACCGCCTGCTCTTACAGTCGCTGCAGATTTTTCAAGCACCTTCATCTTAACAGACTAAAGGTAACTGCCTGTTTTTCTTTCGTACTTTCCCTTTGTTTCTTTTTCTTTTTTGAAAATGGTATCCCAAAAGCACACGGCACGACCTAGGTTAGTGATCAGCCGGTCACCGGGGACGGTTGAATCTAGAACTAGGAGTGCCAACTTCCCCTTGCTGGATCACCCTTTGCGAACTGCCCCAAGTCCGACTGTCTATGTGTCTGTGCAGGACACCATGGCCAGAACTAAGAGAACTGCAAGGGTGACAAATTCAGACGACTCTTCCTTCTATGCGCCTGTTAGTGAATTATCTGACATGCCACCTGGTGCCCCAAGCACTCCTAGTGATTCCATTTTAGAAGAATCAGACTCCTTTTAGGAGAGAAGTGATCATCCGGTTATCTGAGATAACCTCGAAATCCAAGCCTTAGCTCTCAAGTAGTCCAATTAAAGCTGGAGTTAATGCTCAGCAATTAATGTACATGTGTATTTAATAATTTCTGAATGATGTTCCTCAGGGGGAACATCTCCCTTTTATAGGGTCTCGTAATGCGTGCCCAGTACTATGTTTTAGAAACTTAGGACTGACTGGGCTTGCCTAGGTATTTGGGCCGTATCATGCCACTTTCCTAGTTGGCAATTTGTCTGCCACTGCACGTGTCGTGGCCTGATTGGTCCACTTTGGACCTCTCACGAGGTGACACGTGGCTGACTTTGGTCGGTCCACGTGGATGACACGTGGCAGGATTTCATTGGACCACGTGGCGGGGTTAAATCCCTTAATCATTTGCCCCTCACAGGGGTGATGTGGCGTGCCACGTGGCGCCTGTGATAAGTGTCACACTCTGATTGGCCAACGGTTTTTACGGTTTTTTTTTTTTTTTTTTTTACTGCCCCTTAAAATTCACCTCCCTATAAATAGGGGATGTCCAAATCATATGTTTGGACATTTCCAAAAAATTTCAGACAAAACTTTCTTGACTTTGAGAACTTTGTCCTTTTCTGAGAAAGAATGATTGCCGCCTGCTACTAGACCGCCTGCTCTTACAGTCGCTGCAGATTTTTCAAGCACCTTCATCTTAACAGACTAAAGGTAACTGCCTGTTTTTCTTTCGTACTTTCCCTTTGTTTCTTTTTCTTTTTTGAAAATGGTATCCCAAAAGCACACGGCACGACCTAGGTTAGTGATCAGCCGGTCACCGGGGACGGTTGAATCTAGAACTAGGAGTGCCAACTTCCCCTTGCTGGATCACCCTTTGCGAACTGCCCCAAGTCCGACTGTCTATGTGTCTGTGCAGGACACCATGGCCAGAACTAAGAGAACTGCAAGGGTGACAAATTCAGACGACTCTTCCTTCTATGCGCCTGTTAGTGAATTATCTGACATGCCACCTGGTGCCCCAAGCACTCCTAGTGATTCCATTTTAGAAGAATCAGACTCCTTTTAGGAGAGAAGTGATCATCCGGTTATCTGAGATAACCTCGAAATCCAAGCCTTAGCTCTCAAGTAGTCCAATTAAAGCTGGAGTTAATGCTCAGCAATTAATGTACATGTGTATTTAATAATTTCTGAATGATGTTCCTCAGGGGGAACATCTCCCTTTTATAGGGTCTCGTAATGCGTGCCCAGTACTATGTTTTAGAAACTTAGGACTGACTGGGCTTGCCTAGGTATTTGGGCCGTATCATGCCACTTTCCTAGTTGGCAATTTGTCTGCCACTGCACGTGTCGTGGCCTGATTGGTCCACTTTGGACCTCTCACGAGGTGACACGTGGCTGACTTTGGTCGGTCCACGTGGATGACACGTGGCAGGATTTCATTGGACCACGTGGCGGGGTTAAATCCCTTAATCATTTGCCCCTCACAGGGGTGATGTGGCGTGCCACGTGGCGCCTGTGATAAGTGTCACACTCTGATTGGCCAACGGTTTTTACGGTTTTTTTTTTTTTTTTTTTTACTGCCCCTTAAAATTCACCTCCCTATAAATAGGGGATGTCCAAATCATATGTTTGGACATTTCCAAAAAATTTCAGACAAAACTTTCTTGACTTTGAGAACTTTGTCCTTTTCTGAGAAAGAATGATTGCCGCCTGCTACTAGACCGCCTGCTCTTACAGTCGCTGCAGATTTTTCAAGCACCTTCATCTTAACAGACTAAAGGTAACTGCCTGTTTTTCTTTCGTACTTTCCCTTTGTTTCTTTTTCTTTTTTGAAAATGGTATCCCAAAAGCACACGGCACGACCTAGGTTAGTGATCAGCCGGTCACCGGGGACGGTTGAATCTAGAACTAGGAGTGCCAACTTCCCCTTGCTGGATCACCCTTTGCGAACTGCCCCAAGTCCGACTGTCTATGTGTCTGTGCAGGACACCATGGCCAGAACTAAGAGAACTGCAAGGGTGACAAATTCAGACGACTCTTCCTTCTATGCGCCTGTTAGTGAATTATCTGACATGCCACCTGGTGCCCCAAGCACTCCTAGTGATTCCATTTTAGAAGAATCAGACTCCTTTTAGGAGAGAAGTGATCATCCGGTTATCTGAGATAACCTCGAAATCCAAGCCTTAGCTCTCAAGTAGTCCAATTAAAGCTGGAGTTAATGCTCAGCAATTAATGTACATGTGTATTTAATAATTTCTGAATGATGTTCCTCAGGGGGAACATCTCCCTTTTATAGGGTCTCGTAATGCGTGCCCAGTACTATGTTTTAGAAACTTAGGACTGACTGGGCTTGCCTAGGTATTTGGGCCGTATCATGCCACTTTCCTAGTTGGCAATTTGTCTGCCACTGCACGTGTCGTGGCCTGATTGGTCCACTTTGGACCTCTCACGAGGTGACACGTGGCTGACTTTGGTCGGTCCACGTGGATGACACGTGGCAGGATTTCATTGGACCACGTGGCGGGGTTAAATCCCTTAATCATTTGCCCCTCACAGGGGTGATGTGGCGTGCCACGTGGCGCCTGTGATAAGTGTCACACTCTGATTGGCCAACGGTTTTTACGGTTTTTTTTTTTTTTTTTTTTACTGCCCCTTAAAATTCACCTCCCTATAAATAGGGGATGTCCAA